AACAAAAAAGGGGGGAGGAGCAGATCTCCCCCCTATATTTACCTTCAACGTGCTTTACCGTTGTGCATGTACAGTATATGAACGTCCTACGTACATAAATCGTAATCAATGTAAGCTCCTTAATATGTACATACGTTACTGTCCTGAGTGTCCACGTTTTACTCTTATGTACATTGTGCACTCTACATGTACTTGTGTAATTATCGACGTTGGGCAGCAAAACTTTATAACTTTATGTGAGCTTTATTCATTTATCAATTCATATTTTTTTTATCAGATAAAGAGATTGCTAAATGTAGGTTTATGTTTGGATTTGTAGAGGTGGGTTGCGTAAATATTTGTGATAAATTATCTCTCGGGGTTTGTGAATCGATAATTATAATTTTGTTAAAATTTTAAAATTCCAAATCGTAAATTTAATCAATCTGGCACAATAACATAGCTGGACTATAATGAATTGAATGATCACATGGTCTAATGGATAACACAAAACAGATGTGTGTGTGAGGGTGTTTGTGTGTGCATGTGCCATAGGCGTCGGAAGCAAATTGAAAGTTGGGAGAGGGAGGGGGTGGGGGGTGGGGGCTACACCAACAAAAAAATTAGCATAAGTTTTCAGTGCATATAGTATGTCTACATGTATCTTTGCAAAAAAGTGGGAAGGCTTAGCTTCCCCCTGTTCCAAAGCCTTTGTGTACAGGGTACATGTACAAACAAACTCAACTATTTACATCATACATATAAATATATACGAATAATTTGTCATTATTATTAAATTTATGATCGAAAGTAACATACATGACAAGTCAATTTTTTTTAGAAAGAATATATATGATAGTTTTCTTTAACTATAATTTGCATAGCATATGAAAATTGAGGATGTGATTTCATGAAATTTGAAAACTTAAACCTTTTCCAATAGTTACCGGTGCCGTTGTCTAATAGTAGCCGTAACACAAGATTCTCCTAATAAAAAAGCTCTGGCATTTCAGAAACCTATCGAATTGGACAATAATATAAAATAACCAAAAATATTTACAAATACAAAAAAATTTTTACTTACCTGAAAAAGATGACAATCAAAAAAAAAAAAAAAAGTTAAAGTTGCCCAAAGTCGAAAATCCTATTTCGTGGGGGAGGGGGTTAGTCAACTTTTTCTCAGTGTCAACTACTTTTAGTACCAATTCTTATACTACATTTTCGGTACATTTCTAAAAGTGGGGGAGCCAAACAGGCTTTGAATTAACATTTCCTATAGTGTAAGTAAAGTTGGGAAAAAAAGTGGGGGGGGGGCCCCCCCTGCCCCCCCCCCCCCCCCGGATACTACGCCCCTGCAAGTTCATCCATTTTTTTCCACTAGAAACCGCCCAACTTTCAGATAGCAACAAAGAACGCGCATTTCTTTCTGATAGCAACCGTTTAGGTACTACACCGTGAGTTATGCATGTACAATGTGTACAAGTTTTCCCTCTATCTCTTCTAATTTAAGAAGGGAAAATGTCTCTAAAAATCTTATGGTTGGCATGAAGTATCCCTGTTCATTTTACTGATTACTTACAATTGTCCTATTTCTGAGGGCCGAGGGTCATCTTCTGATGAGTGTGTTCTCTGCAATGTTCACAATTGCAGTTCCTGTTTGACCTGTTACATATTGAAAATCCTCTGAACATGATTATGGTTTTAATTTCCATTGTAATTATTGATTACTTTTATAAAAAAAATCTAAACCAATTTATTGTAACATAATACTTAGGAAAATATTTATGTAATATCAATGGAAAAAAGGAATCATTATCTCCAGTTATCCTAAAATCACAAGTAAGCATTAATCATATAAATTCACATACGCAAACCCATTAGCTTTTTGTGCTATTAAATCATAGTCATCGCTGTGCAGTAAAGGAAATCAAGTACTAATCCACAGCTTTGTGGCAATAAAGTTAACATCCCCGAGTAAAAAATGACAAGCCCAAATATAGAGGCAAAAATTAAAAAGTAACATTGAAAAAAAGTTCATCGTGAAAAAAGTCAGGGTATTAACTACAAATGATTCTTTTTAGAATTAAAGTTTTATTTAATTTTCGCTAGTAAAATTTAATCATATATAAATGAATGATTTCAAAAATTGAAAAAAAAGATTTTAAATATTCCTTTTCTGGTCATTCACTAGTTTGTCTAATTAAAACGAAGCAAAAATCATTTTGTTTTCTTCTTGAATCATTTAAAGCCATATATGGCGTATGTACAATGAAAATTATTAGACTAAAATTATAAGAACTTATTATTTGTATCATTAATTTATAAAAACATGATAAAGATAGAAATTTTCCGTAAATTTCAAAATCTAAGTCAATTGCGTTAGAAAGATATCAACATTTAATTTGGATTCTCGGAATTTTCTCCGACTTGGAAGAAAATACAAAAGATTTAAATAACACATTAAGGAGAAGATAAAATCGTATTATTATATAAAACAAGGTGTTCTCCGTGCTCCGAATTGTATGAAAAGCTTTAATTTAAATGTATTAACTATATTTCTTTACTTAATTTTGTATTTTTCAAAAATATATTTTTTGATCAGTTACGCCATATATGGCTTTAAAAAACGCTACCTAATTGCATGACACTTATTATTGAGCTGATTGAGTAAATGTATATAATTTAATAATGAGATATCTGTGAGGCATATATGTACATGCAAATATTGCTATATTAAACAAAGGAAAGGGGGGAATTCAAATTAGGAAATAAAAGATCGTTTTTAAGTAAATCAGTCTTGTAGTACTGCAAAATGGATGCAGTTGTGGAGATTTATGGATAATATGAGCATGCTGTCTGGAATATTTCCATATTAGGGAATTAAATAGCAAAAAAGAGTGAAAATACCGGTGGTGCTTTTCATGTATTACATGTGTATTTTAAAATTCCTAATAGCCCAAGGGGATTCCTCAGTGCAGAAAACCACTAACCCCATCCTCAAAAATGGAAGCCCCGGGTGTAACGCGATGCTTATTACACACCCATCATGTGAAATAGTTATAGAAACCCTATATCAATTTCAGTATTGTTTTAGATTAATTAAAACAAATAACAAAAACAATAATTTAAAAAAAAAAATCAAAATAAAGCAGACACTCAGTCAAAATCAAAGACAGAAAGAAGCAATGTTATGACTGAAAGTTTTTCAGTAATACAATGGATCTCTTAATTTGCATATCAGATGAGATAAACTTACGTACAATTATTTAGTTGTTGTCAATTATCCCATTTATCATCATCTCAGCTCACTTTGCGATTGTAATACTGTCTACATGAACTGATAATTTACCTGTTTACAGCTGATTTATGAACACACGAGTGTTGAAATTTTCATTTCCCTTTCCAATATACATTGTCAGAACATACTTAGTTGGATATGATATAAAATTAAATAATAAACACTTTCGATTTATTAAAAATTATCTAACAATATACGATCATTTACTAAATACTTCTCGCCCCCAAGAGAGTTAAAAAGACAGAGAAAATTCTAAATTCAAACAAGTGCAACTTAGGATTAATTGTTCCGATATATCTATTTTAATTTTGTGCACAATTGTTTTCAAAATTACATTAAAATCTATTTTCCTTAAACAGAAACCAGCAATGGATAAATGTTAATCGAATAAAATCAGAAAATCTTGTTGACATTAAGTGTTTCTTCATGTTCTTAGTCGCCATATTTTTTCTCTCCATGAAAAAAAAAACGTTGTTATGATCAGGATCAACGGAAGTTGATTTTCGGAACTCTCGAGAATTTAGAGTTCCGAATGTAAAACTGAAACAACAAAACAAGGTGCGTCCGTGAAAGCAACTTTTTTGGACACTTTTTTGGACAAATCGTCGTGTCCAAGTTTTGTTGGGTACTAACCTGCAAATACCCAATTAGGGTGTTTTAAGCATATTCAGCGACACTTCTTATTGGGTATACCCAATAAGCAAAAAGTACCCAATAAGTACAATCTTGGCATGAAAAATACCCAATAAATGCACTCTCGTAAACACGGACGGACAGACAGACAGTCGGACGGACGACGGACAAAATGTGATCAGAAAAGCTCACTTGAGCCTTCGGCTCAGGTGAGCTAAAAAGAATTGTAAAATTATTATCCATTACTAAAATTGTCACCTGAAGTAGGAAAAATTGCATTTGAACCTAGTAGACAATACATGGTGATGAGAAGCTTTCATACAAATACCAACGTCTTTTTGATGAAAGTGTTCATTAAAACAATTGAATATGGACTGAACATAACAATTATCACTGAGCTTTGCATAGGATGATACCATTAAGTACATTAATACGTTTACTCCTTCATCTTCAACGTAGCATTTGGCAGGCCATTGCAGATTCGATCGCTTTAGAAGAATCCGTCCAGTTTACACTGCATTTGTGTGTTCTTGGTGGACTGCTTTGACTTTGGCTGCTGCATAAATTCTACATTTCTTGGCCATTTCCGAACTCCCAATAAGTTTTCTTTTGTTTTCTCCCCAAATAACGATGGATTGCCTGATTTAATATAATATAATCTATAATGACTTTTATTCTTTCATGTCAACTTTTGCATTGCAGTGACAAATTGTTACATATATAATAGAATTTTTAGTATGTTGTATAATTGTAAATATACTTGCGAGGCTATTATATGCTCGCCCTGTGCCCCGAATCTGCCATGCTCCATCAAAACTGGCTGAAAGGTTCCTTTCACTCCCAAAATTAATCCATTACATGTCCCAACATAAGTTATCATGTATAAAAAGAAAAAGAAAAAATATATATATCAAGACTACACAATTGAAAATATAAATATAAATATATTTAAATTAAAAGTTTTCCTTTTTTAAAATATGAATAATATAATAAGATGAGAATAATTTTTCCCTTATACGATACAAAGTAATTGGATGTAGCCACTACACGATAACTGCGACAATACTTTTTTGAAAGGCAAATTAAAAAAAACGTTTTCCGAAGTTTTTGTTCATAAATAATTAAATAATGTATATCAAAAAAAGCTTTTCGTCATATTTTGCTAAAATGTATCATTTTGCCCTGCAAAAGAGTAGTACCGCAGGTATTGTGAAACGGTCTATTCTAAACAAAGAACTCCTTTATCAGATTCTTCTTTACATGAAACACATAAAACATATAAATATATCAAAACATATAAAAACACATTTTAATTTCTCAGCAAAGAATCTGTAGACAACTTTCTTCAGCCATTAAATCCAGCTAGTTCCAAACTTCTCTTTCCTGCTCCTTCAGACTCTTCAAGGTAATTGTAGGAATGCTCAGAGAAGCCAATAAACAATTCGCTTTGAGTTTCACAAAGTCCTTCATTAATCACTATGCTAAAAAAGGCATTAAATTTGCATTTTAATAATTAATAAAGAGCAACAGTTCTATACAGGGTTATAAACAAATTCTTGATGGAAAGGGGTGTCAAATGAGAAACTTTAACACTACCAAGCTGCCGCTAATTTAGTAATAAAATCTCATGTTAACACCACTTCGTGTTTTGTGTTTTCCGTCTGTTGGTACCTCGTTTAGGTGCTCATTCCGAAAAATTACATTTAGCAATTTAAACATGTGCTAGGGAGAACTTTCTTTCGCTCACACAACTGAACAAGTTATTGAGTGGATGACCGCATAGTTGATAGCTCTTCAACCCGTCTGCGATAATGCCCAAATTCACAACCCGACTGCGCCACTGGGACTTCTTCTCTTCATTTTCTTGCGACAATACAACTTTTTTTGTGATTTGGCAAGTATCGTCAACACCATTATCACCATCGAAATATTTGTGATCTGTTCCAACTACATGTATATGTTCTTAAGATTAAGACTAGTCAAGTAAGTCAAGTAAATTGTATTGATTGTCGACATCTGTAAAAATAAACGTTTCTAGTAAAAAGAAAAAGATAATTTAAATGAACCATTGAAATGACACTTTAAGGGTAAACAAGCACAGTTACTAGCTGCCATTTAAATAAACTAAGAAATAAAGAAGCAACATAAATTATTTTGCAAACTTATGACTATCACAGGTAAAAGAAATATAAAGTACAATACGCCCCAGATTATTGTAACTCTAGTAAGCACTGAATCGAACATGCTGATGGAATGAATAATAATAGAGAGAAATATATAATATATGACTCTCACGAGTAAGGACATCTATAAAGCACAGAAAAGTACCTAACATTTACTAGTACTGACAGAAAAGAAAAAACTTAATATCAAGTAAGCAACATAGGTATCAATTATACATATGCTTGGACATTCAAACAACATAAATAATAATATTAATATATGAATAAAGAAAAATGATTAAATAAACAAAACAAAAGAGATTTCTCACTATTACTCACTTTACCGCTATTACGTATTTTGCTTTTCTCTCTTCCCATCGTTAATCCTTCTTTCTGACGAGATTCTTTAATAAATCTTTCCTTGTTATCTCTCGGCATTATTTTTAGCGCAGTTTATTTAACCGGTATGACATTCGCTTTGAAATATTAAAACCCAGAATAGTCTGAATTACGAATCCGACCATTGTGACGTAATACCAATTCTAACTCGCAATACCAATTCTTACTTCTAACTCGATCTTTGTGACGTATTTCAATGGTGAAATTTCAAGCATAACTCTATGTATGTTCTATTTTTACTCAAATTTACCAGACGAGTATACTTTTACTGAAATTAAGTATCAGAAGTGTTGTCTTTAATTTTAATTGATAATTGCTTTACAAAACTGTGCAATAAATTAAAATGTAATTGATGATTTTGTAAAAAAGCTCATTCTCAAGTCGAATGTCTGATTCCAGAACCTTCTTACAGAGGTCTGATAGGGCATGTTTCTAACTGTGAGTGCAAAAATATATGATTAAATTTCTTTTTCATGATATATCAAGATAGATTTTGTATTCTAGAACAAAATATCAACGCTTCAGAAAATTCAATTTGAGGGAAATTTTGGCCTAGCTGTTATGTAGTACCTAAAATGTAAAAGTAAATTTCAATCAATACTTAGTATAAAATATAATTGAATGATACAAACACTTTTCTCTACCATATTAAGCAATAGCCCGAGACATCAATATCAGCCGGAGGGCTGAAGGCCCAAGGGCTGATATTGGTCAATCGTTCATGCGGGGTGTGATGTGACCCAATCATATTTTTATTATTGTTAGTAATAAAAAAAACACGTCAAGTAAAATACAAAGAAATCATCTTGCGCGTGTTACATGTACTTACATTTAACGTAATTTAATAGAACAGTTATTTAAAAGTATGAGAATCAAGAGAATGTGAAGGATAATAATATGCACCTTTTTTGTTATTTGTAAAATCTAAAGTTAACGTTGTCGAGTTATTCCAATGCAATGTAATATTACCATTAATTTCCTTTATTTTCAGTTGATTCATTGTTGTTGCTGCGTATGAGAATTGGTCTGTTATGACTGTTGGTTTACCCTCAAGTGATATATTTAATGAAGTATGCGGAGGAACTGCGGTCTATTTAAAAAAGGAATAAGGAATAAAAAGTTATCAGTTTAATAATTAATTTTGATTCAATATTTCTATCGTCACCTTACCTTGTTTAAGTATATGTGTTAAAAATAAGATAATCTATAGATAAATATGTTGTTAATACAACGATATTAAAAATTGTAAATCCAACGTTTCTCAAATTTTGTGGTCGACAAAATGTTTTATGTCACATTATTCAGTCATTTAGTAAAATGTTAAAGGAACTGGTAGCCCATTTTCTCACATTGAATGGTCTATAGATTTTCCTGATTAGCTCATCGTGACGAAAGGCACGACGCAGATGTGGCCTTTTGAAGGGAATCATCACTCATTTGTGGCAACTGATCATGATCCCATTTCTGATTTTGAGAGATCTTTATATGCTCGGCTCACAACTGATATTGTAGATTTCAAATTTATGAAGGAATAAAGTATTGCAAAAAATGTTATTCTCCAGTAGTAGACTATCTTGTAAAATCAAGTATCATTTATATGCATGTTGAAAACAATCTTTTTGAGTTTTATTTTACCTCACTGTTGATTTTTGTCGTCTTTGGTTGATTTATAAATGCTGTAACTGACGTTAGTATCCAATTTTGTTTGTGGTATATGTTTGTGGTAAGATTTGTTTCCCTTTCTGGTGTTGTGCTCATTGCAGGTCGAGCGGTAAATATGGTCTAGAGAGTGAACGAAAACGTTTTAAGCTGATAAAAATTTAGATTGTAATCATTCGTCAGAAATACACTGAAATAAAATCTTTCAATGCCTCTTTTGATATTAGATTCAGGAAATAAAGACGGAACTGCGGGACTTCTAAATAAGAATAGACGTAAAATCTCATTGTTAAATAAGACACAGAATGTTTGTTCATATTTTCATTAAAAATATTTCTCAAGAACTTATTGCATGGATTTTGAATCAAAGAGAACAAACTAAAAATATGAATGCACAAATCAAGATTTTGAAAAGAAAATCATTTAACGTCAGTTCATTGTTTTCTAAAAAGGAGTATTCCACTAAAGTATAGTAGCTTGGTTCCTTTGTTCGCCCTTATATCACAGAATATACTTAAAGTTACAACATTATTTTAATTTTCATGATGTATAACATAGTATTTCTAATCAAAATGATGGTGACTCATAATTTGTAACATTGAATATCAAGAAATACAATCAATTTTCCAACACCTACCGCACATACAAATTCCGGAACATTTTCTTTCGAACAGAGCATGTTTTTTTATTACAAGAAAATGGGCGGAGACATTTAAATAAGGTACTATATTAAGAAATACATTGTGAGCTGTAGCTTGAGATAGGATAAATATGATAATATTAATGCTTGTTTTTATCTTTTATTTTGCATATTATTCGTTTTTTTTAACTTGTAGTGGGTGCGGTTCTTCTTTTGGTTCTCGAGGAATTTTTAGTTGTTGTTTTGAGAAAAAATAGAAAAAAAAATACATAGAAAAAAGTTTGATAAAGCGAAAGAAAAAGAGGAACCCAGTTTCCAAACTTGAAAAAAAAAATTGTTTATGTAGGAGACAAAATTTTACTCATTTTGATTTGAAAAAAATTAAAATCAATGTGTATATATATCTTATTCATATCGTACAGCGTAAAGGCGTTTAATTTTCTTAAGGGGGTGGGGGGGGGGGTAAGATTTATCTCCAAACAAAGTCTCACCCCTCCCCCTGATATTACCTTCCTGACATGTATGACTTGTGTATTTCTGAATTTCGCGCTAAATGTTGTACATATTTAATATTCTGCATTGCTTATCGATAGTTGATCAATACATGACGTGTACAAATACATAATTATACACTTCAATTTCAGTTGTTGGAATAAAGAAACATTATTATTATATTTCACACGGATTCTTTCTGTCTCATAATAAAGTTCACAAGATTGGGAGATGAAATCCGAACTTAATTATTATCTTCTCTGTTGCATTCTGTTAACACATTCGAATATTTTGTCCGAATTTATGAGCCCAAAACGTGGATAAAGTGTAAAGTTTCTTTGGATATTCAAGAAGCTAGTATAGTGTACATGTATTTGTTTATATTAAATGAAATTGTAACTTCTTTGGAATAGTTTGCGTGGATTTTGTTAGTTTTTTTCCGGAAGGAAATGTTTAAATGTGTATTTATATACATATTCTAGTACATATATATTGTTTCGTGTGTTCTTCGAAATGGCAATGCCCAGGAAAATTACGATTACACGCCTTAGAATTAAGAAAAATGTCCTGGAAAATCATCAAGGCCCACAGTGTAACATAAATGATATTCATCGAAGTCTAGTGAGAACTTTGTTTTGGATTTTAAAAAATGAAATTGGTTAATTGTACTGGTCAAATACAAGCTCCATGTGTAGCCTCATAAAATAAACAAGCTTTCCGGAGGTATTCACCTGTGACGGTATAGATTTACGTGACTTATTACCTATAGTAGGTCAACAAGAGGTTAATTCTATGTAAATGTACTCACCAAACAGATTCAAAATCAAGTTACTTTTATGTAGAAAACATAGAGCGCAAGGTTGTTCAACAAAGATATTTTCACACATCCTTTATAAATATAATATACACATTATATTTCGATCTCGACTTTGAAAAAAAAACCTGTGCTCGATGTTTACGAAAGCTATAAAGTGTGTAACTGTCACAAATTTCTTTTAATATTCATGAAAATCAAATGACCCGACCTTCAAAACACAGCTTCGCATGTCGTCTATTGCAATTATTTAATATTTTGAAACCCTGGCGCATATACCACAGACATAAGAGTAAACACTTACCAGAACTGTGCTAAAACATGGTTGCTGGTTTGAATAGCATCATTTTTAACTTATACAACCAGATAATTAAAGAAGATAATAATTATTGCAAATTACGCTTCTTGTATGAAAACGAAACTCTTTCTGGACATTCATGTTTTGCATGTTGCACTGTTTGAATGATATAAAAACATTATTAATCATACTTCTGAGCAGAAAAACTGTATCCACACAATCAAAACAATCAACAAATGGACATCCATTTACACGGCACTGTTGACAGGAGGAATTCTTGCATTTCTCGAAGTCGGTAAACTTATCACCTGCAATTGTAAATGTTTCATGCACTTTAATTATTACTATCTTAATAGACGTGCCACACGTTATTCGAAATCAAATCAATTCAAGTTTCCAAATTGAGATTAAAAGTGTATTTACAGGAAACATAGAGAATAAAAACACCTTGATCAAAAGCTGTATAAATTTGCCTTATGAAAACTATACAACTGGACCTGTTCCTTAACGGATGTTTCAGCAGTTCTAGATAAAAAAAAATCGTGAAAAAAGTAAAAAAAAAAAATGCAAATACTTGTTCTATAGAGAAATTCACAAAAATCAAGGAAAATGAACATTGATCATTTAGGTATAATCTTTCTTGACTTTTCTCAGAAATATATTTAAGAAATAAATCTTATTTTTATAAAAGAAATCATATACAGTTTGATTACATCTTTTTACTTAACATAATTATAGACAGGTATAATCAAGCGAAATTTAATAAAGTACTTTTTAAGCGAGTGTAACTTGTTGATTTTATGTTCATAATAAATAGAAAAAAAATATAGAAACTAAATTACTCACTTAGATTTTCTCGTTCATTCATACGATTTATATGTATTTCACAGCATTTATTTGTTTTGTCACAGTTTGATGCAGATAAATTGAAG